CCCCATATTCCATAGCATTGAGCCATGGCAGTTAAAGCGGTGTCATACCGCATTATTTCTGCAGTGCGGTTGTACCCAAAGTATCTCAGTAAGATACAAGGTTCCAGAGAACAGAGACATGTCAGTGAAAGCAGGATCAAACTCCTATAACTGTATAATGTGGATGCACCCATATTCCCTTTATTATTATTATTGCCCTTGTGGCTTTCTAAGGAGCACCCAAGGCACCTTTGGAAGGTAAAGAATTACATGATCATAAATGTATCTGCCTAAAAAAACCTACCAAGCAACACCTGAAATCCCAGCAACCGACGAAGACAAGTTCCAGCAGCCGATTAAAACAAATTAAAACAGGTTTAATGCAGCAACAGCTGTGATTTAATCTCTGATTAATGACCAGAGTTCTGAAAAAAAGCCAAAGGAAATAAGACATCGGAGTTCCCTGCTTGTCTTAAAAACAACCCAAGGCCAGAATCTTTCATGCCGTCGTATTTCCAGTTTTTCTAATAATAATAATAATAATAATAATAATAAAACAACTTAATAATAAAATTTATTTTAATAATAAAATTAATAATAAAATTTATTTTAATAATAATAATAATAATAACATTTTTTTTCTATGCATAGTTTTGAAAGTTGGACGATGAAGAAAGCGGACAGAAAGTAAAACCAGTTCATTGGAGAGCTTGGTGGATATCATGGATAGCCAAAATAAATTGGTTGGAGAGCAAACCAAACCTATGCCAAGATGAATACAGCGGTTGGGGTGAAGGACCCCATAAATGTGGGAAAATCCCAAATAAAAACATTATATGAGAACACCTCTCTATGAATCTCCAGGTCTTCCAGTGCTACGCTATGGTCAACATATAGTCTTGCACATGAGTATATATAGTATATAAATTTCTAGACTTGTACATGAGTATATACTATATATTTTTGGGGAAAAAAATTAAACAGCAATAAAACATATTTCAAAGATTTAAAAGCTTTCAAAAAAAGCAATGTACACCTGTAATTGGGTTGAAATGAGGCCGAAAGTCTTTGGTGAAGAGCCAAATTTTAACGTGGCATTAATTTTAAATGACGTTAGTGAAGGTGCCATTGGAAGGGCATTACAGAGTTGGGGTGCCACGGCTGAGAAGATCTCTCCCCCCCCCCCAAAAAAAGATCTTAATCCTCAGGCAGACATTTATGGGAGGGAGGCATTCCCCAAATATCATGCTGCTGTTGTTGTTGTTGTGTGCCCTCAAGTCATTTCTGACCTATGGCAACCCCTAAGGCAAACTTATCATGGGGTTTTCTTGGCCAGATTTCTTCAAGAAGGGGTTTGCCATTGCCTGCCCTTGAGGCTGAGAGAGTGTGACTTGCCCAAGGCCACCCAGTGGCTTTCCATATCAGAGGGTTGTTGTAAAGTGGGAAAGAAGTTGGAAAGGAGAGATCCAAGTGCACCATCTTGAGCTCATTGGAGGAAATACAAGGTACTTCCATATTTATCCCCATAATTTCTATATTATAGGATTTTTATAAATATAGATAAAGAGTTCTAAAAAATTATATATATATATATATATATATATATATATATATATTCCCCCACAGTCCTGTTTTAAATGATTGGTGATATCTCAAGGTTTGATGCCCTGCTCAGGTATGGAAACCCAATGGTCCTTGGAAGAAATCTGGCCAGAAAAACCCCAATGCAACACTTCCATATTGCAGCGGTTTGAATGTTGGGTTGGGACTCCAGGAGACCAGGGTTCGAATCCCTGCTTGGCCATGGAAACCCAGTGGCTGATTTTGGGCAAGTCATACTCTCTCAGCCTCAAAGGACGACCAAAACTCCTCTGGATAATAAATACATGTGTCTGTGAGTGTGTCTGTGCAAGTCACTTATTGATTTAATGGTGACCCCATGAATTTCATAGGGTTTTCTTAAGCAAGGAATCCTCAGAGGTGGTTTTGCCAGATTTTTTTCCCCTCTCTGAAATATAGCTTACAGCATTTAGGTATTGGTTGATCGTCTCCCATCCAAGGACTAACCAGGGCTGACCCTCCTTAGCAGCCAAGATCAGATGAGATTTGGGGCTTTTAAGATACTGAGGTCATGAATAATAATACATCCTTCCAATAAAAAACCAGGATATGATAGCTATAAATCAAAGTCGAATTAAAGGGACATAAAAAGAGAGCCATCATGCAATGATTCCCAAACTTTTGGTCCTCCAGGGGTTTTGGTTTGAATCCTGCTCAGCCTTGGAAACCCATTTGGCCAAAATCACTCTCTCAGCCTCAGAGGAAGGCAATGGCGAACTGTCTTCTGGATAAATATTTCCAAGAAAATCCTAAAATAGTTCCTTTGGCTCTACCTTCCATTGGAATTCAACACCCAATTCAGATTCATCTGAATTTCTCCAAAACTGAATCCAGCCCTCAAGCTATATCTAGGCATTTAAGCATTTACATCCTTGTGGGAGTGAGATCAGATTGTGATGGGGTATATCTGTCTATCTATGCCAGGGGTAGGCAACCTTTTTGAGCCGGGGGCCGGGTTG